ATGTAAAAAATAAAGAATGTGTTTCAAATTCATTGCGAATGTCCGAGAGAGCTGTCCAGCTAAACTAAAGCCATCGAACCCCACATTGTTCAGGTGTTGATTTTCCTTGTAACATTTAATTCTCCCAAAGCGCTCAGTCCCAGCTCTCATTAGCCTCTTTATTTCATCATTTTGTAATAAAGGACTTCGCCGACACACTGCTTGGTCTCTGTCACTCTTTATTCCCGTTAATGCTCGCACTCCCCTGGTCCCGACAGCGGACCAGCTGCTCCTCGCGCGCCCCGCACGCGCTCTCCCGTCAGTCACTCCGCTCCCCCGCTCCCGCACACCGCTGGCCCTACGGTGTGCTCAAAGCTCCTACAGCCATGTGGCTGATGGCGTGGATCCCCTCCGGCCACCCAACGTGGTCCAGCTTCGTGACTCTACCAACTGACCCGGAGCCCTTCCGGGATCCCACCTATATTCCTTTCACCACGTGATCCTGTCTCCTCCCTCTCACCACGCCCTTCACCGAACCTTCCAGATCCGGCCTCCGCATAGCGCCTTGCTGGCTCCACCTTTAGGTTCCGCCCCTGCTCACCTCGCATCCGATTGGACCCGAGGTGAGCGGCGGACCTTCACGTATGCCCCCATACTGGGCCCCGCCCCCCAATACCCTGGGCCGTATGATTGGCCCAGAGCCGAGCAGAGAACCCCGCTTACGCTCGCATTACAATTTGATCTTGAGTTGCATCCTGCTAAAATATGTTGCTCACTCGAAGTGAAGGACGTGGGCAGGTGCTCCAAATCGAGGGAAAACACATTTATTGTGGTAATCTGTAAAATGCAACAGCACGTATATCACACAGCAATATTCAACCGAGTCGCTATTAACCACGTGACTGGCATACAGGTCAGGTTACTCTAACATTTTCCCTTAAAACCATTCCACTACTGATAACCATCTTTGTCTTTAATCATAACCTTTACACTTCACTATCAGAATATTACTTTAATCCTAAACTGTATGTCTATCTATACCATCCAATTGATATCTTACACCCATCATCTACACTGTGTGTACAGTATACGGTACTGTACTTGTCACCATTGTACAACTTACTACCGTACATGTGTTCTATTCTTCATAGCATTGCAAGTAGTCATACTCTGGGTGCATGAGCATGGTTATAGAATAAACAGTATTAGGGTTAGAGAATTACCAGTATGAACTACAGTACGTAATCCTTCACAGTGTACAGTGCTAAACCGCCTTCTATTGAACATATCACAAACTACCAATTCACAGCCAAGCTTAAAGACTATACCATTTCTATAACTATCAAAAACAACATTTGGATCCTTTACCTGTAAAATCCAACAGCACGTGTCAGAAATTCTCAACAAAGGTCGCCATTAACCATGTGACTGGTGTACAGGTCAGGTTACTCAATAACCTTGTCCACACATGCATTGATGTACTGCACAGCATATAAGGACCTTCAAAAAACCACACTTTACTCCATTGCTTCACGATTAAATAATTAAAAGAGTTGTCTATTCCTAATGTGCCACACAAACATTTTCCAGTTAAATTAGATTTTGCACTAATGCCATTTTGATTGAATAAGAACAGATTTGTAAACCTTGTAATGGAGATCTTACCTTGATATTTATCAAAGTGATGACCATAAAACAGTTGCCGACTGTTTATTGACAGAGGAAAGCGGAAATAAATGACATGTGCAGTGGACACCTACTGTATATCTGTCCATGGATCCTGATGATGAACATAGAAACTTGTGTCGGAAATATTTTTGTTCGTGTTCCACTTCTCTATTATTTTTCTCAACGTCAAACACTTTAATGCAATGATGAGAAAGAAAATTATTCCTATATATATGTTTTGTTATAGACATCAAGAATAGTGACATTCAAAGGTTGGAGCAAATGCATATGGAAAGCATTGAATTTTGTCCTAGTTTTTAGAGCTGGCACCGAAACAAAGATATTTACATTAATAATTAATAATTATTTTATCCAGGAAAGCCATGATGAGACCATTTTTTTCCAGGAGGGTCCTGCATTGGTTTATTATTTTAAGATGTTTTCAGCCAATGAATGATGAGTGTTTATTATGCACGTGAGAGGGAAACCGGAGCACCCGGAGAAAAACCCCGCATGCGAGGGGGCAGCCACGCTATCTCTACAGATGGAAACACATGGCGATTGGCCAGCACTCGCTGTACCACCCTCTCCCGGCGAACCAGGGTATATGGCACCTCGATGCTCACGGGTAGAAGGGAGTTTCACAACATTTGTTGCGGCGATCCACCAACCCTCGCTGCTGCCCTCCACAGTGGTAGATAGCAGGCAGCCACATTGGTGGCCACCAGCGCCCGGCACTCAACGTGTTAAGTGTGAGCTGCGGACGTGCATTTACACAAATATAAGCTAATACAACAGTGCTGCAGAAAATCATTGTCTTTTGTGCATCCTGTGCAAATCACGTATATGCCAGGTTTCACTCGGATAGATTATTTCCCCCGAAAATCACTTTTAAAAGTTCAGCAAAGACATATTGGTTTAAAAGTGGCTCAGGGCACAAATGCTCCATGTCAGAGCATTGAGGTAGTGCCGGGTTTCTTTTTCCGTCCCTGTTACTCCATGCAACCTGTACCACTCCCGGTCTGCTGTCATCTGCACTGTGATGCCTACTTTATTGAGGGTTAGATCTGTGCAGCCGCCTACAATTTGCACCAAATTCGCAATCAGTCGGGGAATTTATCCGACGGCTTCAGAAATAAAAATTTGTACTTTTAGTCCCTTCGTTTAATTGGACTGTGAGGGCCGAAGTTCATATAACCTGGGGTGTTCACTCCGCTCAGACGTTTACGGTTGTGCTTTACAGCTCGCCGATTTGTTTTCGGGTTGTACCATATGTTGTACGCCACTCGGTTCCTGAAGAAGCTACCAGCACGGTGGAGTAAAACGTCAGACATCGTGCCGAATATCACGCAGTGTAACCCAAGAACACAAAAGAGAATTGCAGCGCGTTTTCACGTGGAGAGGAAGACTGGGGTGCAGCAAGCCGAATGGAGAGCTGCTCGGTGTTACGTAATAGGCCCTCTGAAGTGACCCTACGATAAGTTCTGTGCTGTCAATCTTTCATGGATCTTTCCTAACCTGATGTGATGCTGTGCTGGCTGTGAGTCCTTGGAGGACATCTCTCTCACCCAGTGACATGGCCTGGCACATGTGGGACAGTGCTTGGTGATTACATTAAAACGGATCTGTTCAGATTACGTATGGATCTTTTGAAATCACTTATGAAATATTGGGGTTGGGGAAGTTGCTCAGGGCCTAGTGCACTGCACTGTGAACCCCGCAAGCAGAATTAGATTCTCGTTCATGGCTAATATCAGTGGTAAGTAATATCTGAACCAGTCCTCGCCCCCCCAATCCGCACTGGTAAAGTATGGTCACTACATCTCTCTGGCCTCTATATCCCCGTGCTATAAAGAAGGGCCATTGCCAAAACATCGCCTATTATATAATTTGTCTTTTAAGGCCACTGTTGGTGATAGTGCTAGTGATAGTGCCAATGCACTATCACCAAATTATTTGTAGATCAAAAATGTTTTTTGCACCGTTCGTAGTCAACCGTGCTAATCGGAAGTGTGGGGGGGGGGGGGAAGGACAACAAACCTAACACAAAAGTCAATTCTAAAGAAATTCGCTTTCAATCTAGATTTAAAAGCGGATAGCTCCAAGTGGCTTCCTAATAGCGGAAAGAAAAGCGTTCCAGACGACTGCCGAAGCACATCGAAAGTGCACGATGCAATAACCGTTTTTGTTCGATGGCTCGCCGCTGCGAGGATGACCGGAGTTCGCGTGATAGTTTATGTTCCTTAACAAGATCACTGACAACACGCTGTCAGCCTTGATCCAGCAGTGTATTGAGAAGGGGCTGAAAATGATTCTTACTAAAATATTAAACTGGAATTTGGTAAAAACACGCATACATGTTTTAAATCGCAATGCAATCGTTCAAGGCAATCCTGGCTTGCACTCACATGTCTGGTTGAATTCATCATCCCATACAAATCATCTTGGGCACTGCTCTCCGTGTCTCTTCTTGTCGTCCCAGCGTGCCACTATGTGTCGCTAGCTGGGCTTTTGCGAAATTTGCTCCAGCACTATTGAGCAGTCTTGTGGTATACCTTCAAGCGTGTGCTTCCGCATCTTCTTTGGAGACTGCCCATAAAACGTATGTTTTAAAATTGGCGATATTCATAATTGTTAGCACTGGCTCCATTATATGCATATGTGTCATCCTTTAAAAATATATAATTTAATATTTTTATACACGATATGGCGGGTGTGCACAGCGCTGTGTTTGTGGGATTCTCTCTGGTATCGTAGCATGTATCGGCGTGAATGCATCTCCCGGTGTAAATGTACGCAATTGTCAATTGGTTGGTGAATGTCGTTGAAGAATCTGTATATTGACTTGACGAATGTGCTGAATATTTTGTATGTCATAAGGAGCCTTGGAACTGTCATTCTACAAAAGGTGTAATAGAAATATAATTTAGTAAAACTTGTTTTTGATGCATCTATTAAAGCGCTGCAAGGAAGCATGTATGTATATGCGGGAATGTGTATGCATGTGTGGGAATGGGTGTGTGTGTTCTCCCCGTGGTCACGTGCATTTTTCTCCAGGTCCTCCGGTTTTTCTCTCCACATTCAGAAACATCGTTTAGTATATTTGTTCCTATACATTTCCACGTGATAAGCCACTTCGTTGGGCGCTCATTTGTGGCCAGGTCGCTTCTAAATAAGATCTAAATATCTCAGTGGGCTTTAGTTGGTAATATAAAAATTGTTTCATGTAACGACCTGCCAGCGAACCTTCAACACTTCAGGTATCCTCAACGTGCACCTAGACTGGCACAAGCGCCGTGGTGACGTCACCGCCACTGAGTAGCGAATGCCGGTTGTTATGTGTGTGTGGACAGCTTGGCTGAAGGGGGCCACCTGGCTCTGGGCAACTGGGAGGGATGCGACTCTGGTGGGTGCTGAGCTGTGCGGTCACGTGGGCCGTCCTCGCCGTTCTGCTCCTCAGCAGGCTCCTGTCGATGAACCGGCCACCTTACCGGGGTACGCACCACACCGCCCGCCACCCGCTGACCACACTGGCTTACCCGTTCGCCTGCCCGCCCATCCGTCTTCTGTTTGTCTCCATGTCCTCCCAACGTGCTGTCCAAAGCAGATGTATTCACTTGGGATTTTTTCACATTTCAAGTGCCGTCACCTACCGCCGTTATCCTCAGAATACCCCCCCCCCCCACTCGTGGGGCGTATTGAACATTTTGGCTGTAGAGGTTACCAAGAGAAGATGTGCTCTTTGCCGCCCCCTCTAGTCGACTAAGTGGCCTTCCATTGCAGGGCCAGTGGCATCGCTGGCTTCTGTGTATTTAGCCGACCCCAATGGAGCTCTTCACTTCTCCAAGTGAGATTCTTATTTTCGGGTCAGGTATATTTTTCTAATGTATATAAAGGTCCAGTCCTACTATTGCCTGCTCACGCTCACTGCTGGCGGAAGGGCCTCCTCTAGATGGAGCTCCAGAGAGCCCCTCTGGAGACTATTTTGGCTAATTGTCAACTAGTCAGGCATCTTGGAAGAGGTGGGGGGTACCCACACTTTACCCCACCACACGCGACCTCCCGATCGACTTAACTATGGTGTAACAATTAATACTGCTGGGTGGACAGAGATGGGTGAGGTTTAAGAAACTTGATCATTGTTTCAACTGCCATGCCGGGAGGTCGATCGAATGAGTGACCTGTGGATTGCATGTACTAACCATTACACCATGGCAGTATCCCTCTTTAATAAAGCACTTCGACGACGATCTGTAGTTCGTGTTAGATATTGTCGCTCTGCTCCCGCACGCCGCTGGCAGACGGCGCGCAAGGAGACGCCTCCGGCCCGCCACGTGGCCCACCACGTGGCCGCTGGCATGCCAGAGGCGCGAAACGTGGTCCCGCCTCTAGACTCCACACACTGACCCCGAGCTGCTTCCTGCTTCCCCTTATAACCCTTCACCCACGTCACCAAGCCCCGCCTATAGCCACGCCCCCTCACAAACCTTCTGGATGGTTACCCACAAGAACCCTTGAGTTCCGCCCTTGAACTTGGCGCATCCATCTAATTGGCTGATGGCTGAACCGACGGAGCCTATCCCACCGATCGGCGACCGCCGGTGAACTCTCGTATTACACATCTATAGAAAGCATTCAATATCCAACTTACGTAAATTGTTTACATATCAGATCAACAATAATACTGTATGAATTAAGGCACTTCTACAATAGTGGAACACCGTTTTGTTTATTTTTTTTAACTTGGAGAGAGCTCAAAAGACCATCACCAAAATAACAAAATAATCTCGAAAAGTACAATGATGAGGAAATATAATATCGTGACTCAATGGATGGCAGGGTGGTGATGCAAGAGTAACACTTGTGCCTCATAGCACGAAGGGCTGGGTTCGATTCTCGACGCAGGAGTCTCCGGATTTGTCACGGAGGTGTCCACAGCTGCTTAGCCATCCCAGCAGACCACGAGGTCTGTGACGCCACCCTACTGCTAGGGTTGCCACCCATCCTGGTCCTCCCAGGATCATCCTCACTTGGCGTTATCTGTCCTGGGAAACCTGAAAATCCTCCAAGGACATATAAAAGTCCTTGTTGTACAATAAAACGCCACTCAAGACACTATATTTCCATGCAGTTCCATGAAAATGCATTTTCATCTTTTGAAGATACGTCCAATTTTTTTGCACGTCAAGAGGTGGCAACCCTACTTTACCCACCACGTGCGAAAGTGATCTCGTCACAGAGCAAAAACCATCACACGAACTCTGGTCATCCTCACAGCAGCGGCTTTTAGCTGGCCATCGAACAAAAATGGTCACCGCATCGCGCGCTTTCAGATGCACTTCCGTAGCCGTCTGGAATGCTCTTCCAATATTAGGAAGCCGCTGGAGCTATATGCGCATTTAAATCTAGATTGAAAACTAATTTCTTTCGAACTGCTTCTTAGTTTGCCACCACAAATCATTGGCTGTGAATGGTGGTGTGAAAGAGGTTCCACATAGAGTACATACATACGTACAAAAGTGTTGAGGGCAGTGGGTTTTTAGTGGCTGGAAAAGTATTGTCGGGCATTACTGTCATAAGACTCCGGTGTGCGTGCACAGCCTCACTTGGGCAATGGCCAGCATAGAGACGGGAGGCGCGCCGGCCAGGTCGTTGTGCTCCAGCAGTGTAGTTTGGCCGGTTTAGCATACGCAGGGCCGGCTCACGAGCCAGCACAGGCAAAACCGTCCGTCACCACTGAGCCAATGCGTTCATACGCGAGCCACCTGCAAACACAGCACAATATGCAAGGGTCTGTGGCCTGAAAAACTATTACAGGTTTGCTGTTTCCTGACTCGAATATAATTATTTGTAATGGCATAGCATATTTAAGTGTATCATATAAGCAGTATATCATGTTTAAACTGCATCCGTTTAACGTCTAGTTTCCTATCCTCAATCTTCTATTCTGCATTTTATCCCATCACAGCCGAAAATATCTGTCATTTTGATCCTTGTAATGGCTCAGCCTTACTCTGACATTTAAATGAAAATTGCATTGGTCACACTCAAGTTATATTTCCCCACTCCAAATATCTTAATTTCTCGCTCCGCAGGTAAAAACTCCGTTTGAAGTTGAGATGGCATTTGACATTTCCCTGTTCTGTCCCACAATCTGGCCCCACAAGTGTTCGCACCGCAATGCTTCGCTCGAATAAAACGACACTACATCTGGGCCTCCACTTGTCATCTCTCTCACATCGCGATCAGGTTTTTCGTTTCTCAGATCGCCTCTCCTGTTGGAAATAGTTGTGGACTCTTAGCATGAAGACTACCATTCACTCAAGGCAATATACTCTGATCTGTAACAATTACTTGACGCGTATTTGATTTGCATGCAATTGTAATTTATCGATATTTCTTTTTTTACTTTGCTTGCGCATTCGTGATCGACTGGACACATAAGAGTGCGCAATAACAAATGTTCTTATTTACTTGCGTTTTTTACTACATATTATTAAAGTTTTTCAAAGTGTTTTTACACGGTTGACAGGTGTTACTTTTAAGTTTTTATTTTATTCGCTCATTGTCTTGCATGGAATGTGTTGCTCTTCTGTAACATCGTACCCTGTAATTTATCTCTTTTCCAGCATTTTATATATCCTCCGAGGGCACCCTTATTGGGCCCACAACCTGTTATAAAAATGTGCACCCACCCAGCTCAACCATGGAATTGTTACTTTCACTCGTACATTGGTAGCATGATTTAGATTCATTGTGCATTCCTATAGCACAAAATGAAATTACAAAAACGGGTGCCACTATGGCGAGATGTTAACTACCTCGACTGGTATACAGGAGGTCGAGGGTTCGATCCTCGCCCTGACGTCTGTATATTTGAAGTTTGCATGTTATTTCTGTGGTCGCATGGATTTTTCTCCTGATTATTTGTTTTTTTAGAAACATGCGTTTAGAGTATTTGGCTGCTGTACATTTCCACGAGATAAGCCACTTTATTGAGCTATTGTTTGTGGCCCGGTCGCTTCTGAAAAAAGAGCCATATAGCTCAGTTAGCCTTTCCTGGTAACATAAAAAATAGTTTTAGGTTTAGATATAACATGAAAAAGGCACTACTGCGAAGATGCTGATGATGACTATCCCTCCTTCAGTGTTGACTCCATTTGGAGCCCACATGAACACCCAATTGCTTTCTTGTATATATTGCCACAAATGAACCACAATACCTCGCTGATCTCATCAAGGAGCATAAACCATCACGCAAACTATGGTCATCCACACAGCAGCAGCTTTTGGCTAGCCATCGAACAAAGACGTCTGAAATGATCTTCCTTCTGACAATGAAGCCACTAGAGCTATGCACTTTGAAATCTAGATTGCAAACTTATTACTTGAGGACTGCTTTTTGTGTTTAGTTTGTTGTCTTTCCCCGCACCTCTGATTAGCACGGTTGGCTATGTACGGTGGTGCGAAAGATTTACACTTCTGTTCAGAAACATATCATGGGGAGCACCATTTGCTTGTGTTCCAGCCAGTATTTCCATTTATAGACCCAGCTACACTGCGTTACTTGGCCAGTGTTTACAGTTGCGTGCAATTTAAGTGCTCGTTACGATGCAGGGACACATTAGGTTATAGAGTAGATTGAGGACTTGGTGTTGATCCACATTATCTGTGTCGGAGTGACAGCGATGGGAAGTAATAGCTATTCGGGTCTTGTGCTTGTAAACTTTTCACGTTGAATGCTGTTAAGTGCTATGCTTGATGTCTGCCTATGAAACATCGCATCGCCATCACGGTGCCAAGTTAGTGTCTTCAAATACATTGCTGTCTGAAAATGAGGCATGCAAATGAGCAGAATGTTAACGGAAAGGTGATTAGACTGGTCTACAATTTTTAGATGTCTGATTCAGAGAGTAAATTATGTATTTTGATGTGCTGAATTCAAATATGACGATGAAAACAACTGATTGGCTACTTCTTGGTTCTTTCGGTAAAGTCACGTAGAAGGGAAATAATAAAATAATACAAATTAAACATAATAAAATACAATTCTCACGACGTTTCGGCCACAACGCAAGCAGCCGTCCTCAGGTGAAGAACAAGACAGCGTCTTTCCGACAGACCTGTTCTTCACCTGAGGACGGCTGCTTGCGTTGTGGCCGAAACGTCGTGAGAATTGAATTTTATTACGTTTTATTTTTATTATTTTATTATTTCCCTTCTACGTGACTTTACCGAAAGAACCAAGAAGATGAATCCCTGCAGTCACGAAAGCTTTAAATCGAAATTTGATTGGCTACTGTTCCCAAGATATTTAAGTTTTTACATTTTACGTCTATGTATATTGTGTAGATAGAGTTTTACTCATAAATTGTAAACCTAGGTATTTTCATCTGTTTATGGTTGTTTTACATGCTAGCATGCACCTGTCCTGTTCATGTAACACTTTAAAAATCAGCAAAATGGTTATATAAATAAAATGTATTGTGAAACGAAAGGCAAAAAACGATTATGTATATATAAATACATCGTTTAGTCCATATTCAGTGTCTACTCAGCGCTTCTTGGCTTGTCTCTTGTATTCATTAAATGGAGCATCTCTTGTCACTATCCAGCAATAGGTCTGCAAGCATTGATGGGCTCCATTTGGCTTGATAGCACTTCTCCACTGTTGCAATGTCCTGGTGAATTCGCTCGCCATGCTCGTCGCTCACTGCTCCGCAGTTCGGTGGGAAAAAATCTAGATGAGTGCAAAAAATGTATCTTTAGTGACATGTTGCAACCAAGGCTTTTGTATACCTTAAATAGGTTTTCCACCAACTCCCTGTAGTTGTCTGCCTTGTTGTTTCCGAGAATATGTGTTGCCACTAACTGGAAGGATTTACATGCTGTCTTTTTCTTGCCACGCAGTGCACTGTCAAATGCATCATCTCGATGAAGTTCACGAATCTGAGGACCAATAAAGACACCTTCCCTTATCTTAGCTTCACTTAACCTTGGAAATTTTCCACGGAGGTACTTGCAAGCTGCTTGTGTTTTGTCCATGGTTTTGACAAAGTTCTTCATCAGACCCAGCTTGATGTGTAAGGATGGTAACAAAATATTCCTTGATTCAACAAGTGGTGGATGCTGAACACTTTCCCTCCCAGGCTCCAATGACTCAGAGTGGCCAATCTATCTTGGTGTAGTGGGAATATCTCGCGCGACTATCCCATTTGCAGAGAAAATAGCAGTACTTTGTGTATCAAGTCTGCAGACCAAACAAGAGAGCTACAACCTTCAAACCACCACAAAGCTGCCACTGATGTTGGTCATAGTTTATGCACCTCAAAAGTTGTTTCATGTTGTCATAGGTTTCCTTCATATGGACTGTGTGACCAATTGGAATTGATGGTAAAACATTGCCTTTATTCAGCAAACCAGCTTTAAGACTCATCTTCGATTAATCAATTAACAGTCTTCACTTATCTGGATCATGAACGATGTTGAGGGCTGCCATCACACCATCGATGTTATTGCAGGCTACAAGATCACTTTCCATGAAGAAGAATGAGACAAGATCCTTTTGACGGTGACGGAACATGGAAACTCTAACAACACCTGCCAGGAGATTCCACTGCTGCAGTCTAGAGCCCAACAGCTCTGCCTTAGTTCTAAATCCTGTTCACCTTGTGTTATGAAGTGTGGTTCAGAGCAGGAGGGTGGGAGAAAATCTGGGTCATGTGACCTTGATGGTTCAGGACCAGAAGTTTCATCCTCTTCCTCGTCTGACTCAAGTGAGAATGATTCTGGTGCATCAGGAACCGGCAGTCCTTCTCCGTGGGGTACTGGGCGTATAGCTGATTGAATGTTTGGATAATGCACAGTCCACTTTTTCTTCTTTGACACACCTTTTTCAACTGGAGGCGCCATGCAGAAATAACAATTGCTGATATGATCTGTTGGCTCTCTCCAAATAATTGGCACTGCAAAAGGCATAGATTTCCTTTTTGCTGTTCAATCGCTGGCGAAGATTTGTTCCACAAGTGCTGCAGCATATGTGTGGGGCCCACATCTTGTCCTGATTTCCAATTTTGCAGGCAAAATAGCGGTGATAGGCTTTCTTAACCATAGTGGTTATACTGCGCTTTTGTGATACAAAAGTCACTTCACCACAAACATAGCAGAAGTGATCTGCTTTGTTCACATAAGTACGAGGCATCTCTGCTCCCTTTGGCTAAATAGAAATGTGTCCCTTTGCAAAATCAAACACTTACAAATAAGAGAGCACGACACTGTATTATTTCTAGAGCTGATATTGGGCAATTTGTTCAGCAGAGAGATGCAAGCCTAGTTATGATTGCATCATCCATGACTTCTTGGAATAACATGGTAAAATTCATATCATGTACGATGCAATACCAAGTTCAGATTGCATCATTCATGGTTTTGCTAAAAAAACAAGTACTGTCCAAACCCAGTCATATATGTATTCATAGTTCGAGTCAAAGAGGTATTTTAGTAATTTCTGGTTTAATTTGAGATCCCTTCCCTTTATAACTCACTTATCCTTCGACATTCCCAAGTCAAGGGTCGTATATACTGGCCCAGTAGCATATCTTTAAAACTAGAGCCAATCAACAATTTTAAGCATAATTTTCATTTTCAGTGACCCAGAATTAGTAAGGTTGGTCTCCATTTATTTCGGAAACATTTTGGCTGAAGACCAGTGAATTATCGGCTGAAAAAGTGTCCTGCTCCGGGATGTTTGTTTGGTATTTTATTGGAATATATGTTTTATTAGTATAAGGCAGAAAAGCTTGTCTGTGACCAAATCACCCAGAATGCTCCCGATCTCGTCAGACTGCAGAAGTTAAGCAGGTTTGAGACTGGTAGGTACCTGGATGGGTGGCCACCATGCACGGCAGGTTGTTATCGGCTGCGTCACAATTAGGTCGGCAGCAGAGGGCAGTGCAGCAGCAGCTATTGTTGCTTTGTGCTTCTATACTCTCTGCATTCACCAACCCACACTGACCAGTGTGGTGAGGTATGGACAAACCAAGTTTCTATTAATTGTACAACATGGCGAGGCCCTCATCCAGCAGTGGATTAACAAAGGGCCGTGCACGTACACATACATAACTTATGTGCTTGACTGAATATGGGACTTGTGGTTTGGATACTCTTTGGTTCTTTCGGTAAAATCGCGTAGGTAGAAAAATTTAACAAAATAAAAATAATATATCACAACGTTTCGATCGCAACACAAGCGGCCATCCTCGGGCGTGATATATATTATTTCTATTTTGTTTAATTTTTCTACCTACGTGACTTTACCGAAGGAACCAAAGAGTATGGATTCCTGCAGTCACGAAAGCTTCAAATCAAGATTGTGATTTGGAGTTTGTGAGTTGGAATCTAATTTCAAGTGATGAATTAATATCTCGTTGTAAGCCTAGTGGATGTCACTGCGGCTATATTTACAGAGATCAGATCTTGGCATTTTCAAACCTGGAATTTATGGAGCATGCGATGTATGACCACTGCCAGTAAAAGCAGAAGCATGTCTAAGCTTGTTGACCTTTTCATTGAACGCAACAAGATCTGCCGTATTTCCAGCATGGGCTGAAAATACTGTGTGTCATCGTGTCTTGGTGCGATATAATTTCATGTTATCAAAGTGTGAGAACTATTACCGAGTGATGGACACAAACGTCACGCGCTCTGAAGAACCAACTTGCGTGGAAGTAATTAATTGGTACACTTTTTGTCTGTAATGATAAACATATACTTTTTTTATCTTCTGCCAATTGTTATATCGTTATCAAATTAAAAATATGCCAAATATTTCTCTTGAGAATTATTACAGTAAAGCATTGCACGAGCTCGTGTAATCGTGCACAGGTTGATCAAACTTGGTGTCACAGAACTGCTTCTGAATTTGCTTCCATTAGCCTCTCTTTTTTTAGTGCCCTGCAAAGAGTGTCAATCGTATGGCAATCAAAGCAATTGTCTTCATCCTCAGCACTGGAATATGCTGAGTAAAGTGACAAAACAAATGCAATACGATATTGTTTTATTCACTTAGTCATTATTAGCCATCAACGCATTGCACCTGAGGATCTGTGTTTGTTTTCATCTCTTGGCTGACACCCGTTTATGATCCAAGGATCTAGGTCAGTTCTCTTCATTGCAAGGCCCGCAGGCCACTAGCGACCACTGGTGGCCTGTTAGTGCGGCCTCTAACATGCGGCCCCTGACAATGCAAACATGTGAAAACACCCCCCCATCATCATGCTTTCAAACCCCAATGGTTTAAAATGTGTGGCAGCCTTCACACTGATGATGTCTTATCGGTGAAGGTGCCCCACCCCTGTGAAAATTGTGGTACCAGCGCCTTATGATGACAATGGTATCAGCCCTATGTCACTCGGCCACCACATTGATTTCGTACGAATTGATAGTCCATTCATATTTGTGTTGATTGGAATAGTGTTTGTTTTGTTTCGAATCTTTTAAGTGATGCAAACGTCTTGGTAAAAAAAAAAGCTTCTCGACAACAATGCTAATTTTTATCCATGTATTTTTCCCGAAGGTCTTACCACAGAGTTCTTCAGCAGAACAGAAATTGGGAACTTTTCAAGGAGTGCATCCAGACCCAAGCAACACCTGTCCAAGGTGAGCATGTGTCACACATGACAGTCCCATGCCCTCAGAATTACTTTTATTTTTAAACACACATACGATGTAATTGGCATTGACCAAACATTCCCAATGCTGAATAATTACCGGCAAATTACTCAAATTGGGATGAGACATGGCAACATTTTGCCGGGCGGTGGTGGTGGCAGCTACACACGTGGCCTGTAATCTCCGTTTCTGTCGGCGTGGAGGTGCCCTAGCCCTGGCTCGTCAGGAGATGGCGGTACAGCAAGTGGACTGATCGCCATGTGTTTCCATCATTATGGGGTTAGAGCGTGTTGTCCTCCCTTCACGTGCTACAGTTTCCACATGCGTGGACACTCGTTATGAATTGGCTGAAAATGAATCTCAAAATAAACACCCAATGGAACACGACCCTCCTGAAAAAGAGTCGTACGACACATTGATTATATCCCGGGTAAAGAGGCGTAAAAATAATGATCCGTTTAACACTTAGTGTTTCGCGACTAATATGTCATTCTGGAAAATCGCCTGATGAAGCTGGTTATTGTAATCACCAGCGAAACGTTGTACTCAGATTGTAAATGTTGTGGGTTTACTTTCCCAACACACCGGTGTGCTGAAGTAGTAACTAATTGGCACGTTTTGTTTGCGTGACAAACCTTACGAAAATAAATTGGCCGTGTCAGGTGCTAATCTAGCCCATAAAACCCTTTAAAAAAAACTTCATTATTTAACAATAACGATGATGATAATGATAATAATACATTTAAAAACATTACAGCATTGTCAGTAAGGCTCGGCATTGCAGAGCTGTGCTGCGCACGCCGGTTAATGCGAGCTGTGCGTGGAACGACCAGGAGTCGCCGGGTCGCGTGGAGACGCGGAGCACGGTGGAGGCGGTGCAGCGCGAGCGGCAGGAGCTGCTGCGCCGCGTGTGCGCCGACCCCGCGCTGCACAACCTCACGCACACCAACGTGTCCCACTTCGTCCTCAGCCGCATCTTCGTGTGCGACCGCTACCGCATCCTCTTCTGCCAGACGCCCAAGGTTGGCAACACGCAGTGGAAGAAGGTCCTCCTGGTGGCGAACGGTGAGCGCTCCAGCCACGCGGGAAAAGGTTTCGTGAGTTGGCCAACACGAACCGAAATTTGGGGCAGTAACCCGGTAGAGGTTGGTTGGTTACCTTGGCTGCGACGGTTAGCACATCGGATTCATGACCTCGCAGCGTGGCAGTTGAAAGGATAATCAAGTTTGTTAAATCTCCCACCCACCCCCAACGCCAGCACAAATAGTATCCTCTCTTTAAAATAATGTGATGGGATTTTGAATTGTCTACTGTGAAGCAGACAGTAAATGATTATGGTCAATAACCTGTGGTGTCAATCAGGGCGGCTGCTAGACTCTGATCACGGATCTCTGCAACAGCAGAAATACGCTACCATTCGACCACGTCACCGCTCCTAGAGAATCTGTTGCCATATTCGCCATTAGCATCAAGCGGCTGCGATAATACACGCAGTCCTCGACGTTAGTACTCACTGTGGTCAGACCGCACCTATGGCACGACACCAACTCAGGTGACACCAACTCAGGCGCGAGTTCTGTGCACAAACAAAGATCCCCCATTTAGCCTTAACAGACTGTAGGGGCAAGTGCTGTTAGCGAGCACCTATGAAGGCCGGCACGGCACACGAGGGGGTGGGTGGCCAACGCCATGTCCGGCCGCCTTTGTCTCCCTAGTGACGATGTTTACACACCACACCAGGTACTCGTTTGAGGCTGAGTCGACCTAGGGGAGGCCCGGGACCGGTTCAGATAATTGTCACTGGTGTTGGCCGTGAGCGGGAATCAAACTCGGGTCGTCAGGTTCATAGCGCAGCGCGCTAACCGCTACACTACCGCTCCCAATGGGATACCACGTCAGCGAGATGGTCACTACCTTCCCTGGTATGCAGGAGGACGAGGGTTCGATCCCAACCCCGACGCTTGTTTGTTTGGAGTTTGCATGTCTCTCTCCCCGTGGTCACGTGGATTTTTCTCCGATTCCGCCGGTTTTTCCTTCACATTTAGAAACATGCGGTTTAGAGTATTTAGCTGCAATACATTTTCACGTGATAAGCCACTTCGTTGAGCTATCATTTGTGGACAAGTTGCTTCTGAAAAAGAGCTCTCTAGCTCAGCGTGCCTTACCTAGTAAAATAAAAAATTGTTTAGTTTTGATAGTTTTAGTTTAAAACTCTGTTCATTCTCAGTGATGTTTTAACGTGTTGGCATGGCTCATGTGCAGCAAATAGCGGTGGAGTTAAGGTGACTCTCGTTGTGGTAAAGCAAATGTGAGATATTTGTGATTTTGTCGTTATTGGCGTTGAAGGACACGTGTGACGTATGTGCAATGCAGGCCGCTACAACAGCACGAGCGACGTGCCTGAAGACATCGTGCACCAGCACGACAAGAACGGCCTGCCTCGCCTCTCCAGCCTCCCTCCTGGGGAAGTCTCCCTGAGGTAATGCTATACGGCAACTCGCTGGCGAGCGGGGAGGGGGTGGCAGCCACTGTGGATGTTGTGGAGCTGTCTGAACACCTTCCCTGACATATGTAGACATAGCTCAGACACAGAGCCGAATAAATAAGCCTACAGGCACAGGCGTACTTCCTGCTTCTCCACCCAAACTATGCTTTTCCACATTGTTTGCTGGTAAACACCCTGTTGTGTATCAGTTTGTTACACAACAAAACTGTTTTCAACCCTGTATTTCAGAATTTCGTCCTGAGCTTGTGCCCGGTAATGTTTAGTTTTATCAGGCTCTGCTAAGAGACAACCTACAACATACATAGCCAACTGTGCTAATCTAACGTAGCGAACCGTGCACGAACAGAAGTAGGCTCGGTAGCCGAGACAGGAGCCGCATGGATTGAATACAACTATAACATTTGTGATGAAGTGGGGGGAGAACTTTGCAGACCCCTTCGGTGATCTACCCAATCACAGCTTGGAACCGATAGCTCGGAAGGACACCAACAACTTCCTGCGCCTGCCTGCACCCCCACCACCAAGGCGAACATTTAGCTCCCATAGTACCTCCTCCTTGTCCTCCCACAACTTCCTCTTCTATATTTGCTATGCCTGGAGTTGCCACGTAATTAATCACTTCACATATGACCTTTGCAGTGTTGCAAAAGTCAGCAGAGTTTTCAGAAGTCTTAACTTCAAATCGATTATAGTTTGTTTACCTACCGAGGAGAAGCATCTGGGGAAGATGGAATGCTGTGTAACTTGATTATGAAGGGATTCCTGTATTGAACGAACGTATTGCCAACTTTCTGAAATGTTGTCAATATGGGGTACAATACAATCCCAGAGACATTGAGAAGTGGATATCACATTTTGAAGTCGTAGCGAAATGAAGCCGCAATATCTCGGCAGAAACAAATTGGGACATGCTGCTGTATGGCCTAGTTATGCAGCCATTGTTTGATGTCAAAATTAGCATCAGGCCCTTGAGCCAAACTATCTATATACTGCCATTACAAAATAAGTCATAAAGACTGTATAGGAATGTTATACATAATTAAACACCCCTGCTTGAATTTAAATGATGAGTAACTTTGGTATTTGTGCCATTCGTATAGCGCAAAGCTGTCACTAAAGCGCTATATTTAACGGATGAATATATTCCACTTTAGTTTCACAGCAGGGGTGATGTTCCAACAAGGTTTGTACCCATTTGGGTAATTTGCGAGTAGTTTTCACAAACTGGCTGGTTACATATGGCCTATCTCGATCGAATGACATCCCTGGATCCTTAACGTTCACTGTTAAGCGGACCGTGCATTTTTGTTTGTTTGTTAATACACCACAGTATTGACCAGGGTGGCCACTGCGATAAAACTACGAGCCTCTGCAATAAGTGGCAAACACCCCCCCCCCCACCGCCCGGTCACGTTAGCGTCCCCAAGCGAGGCTGGAGCGAGCTTTAGTTGCGACTCTCGCCTCTCGCGAAAACTTTGGTCCCACAGACTGACACACGTGGATGCACCGTCCCATCCTCCGCAGGCTACGGACATACTTCAAGTTCCTGATCGTGCGGGAACCGTTCGACCGCATCATCTCGGCCTTCAAGGACAAGTTCGTGAAGAACCCGCGGCAGGAGCCGTGGTACAGACAGAGGATAGCCCCGGCAATTGTGCGCCGCTACGGCTCGGGCCCCGCCCGCCGCCACGCCCTCCGCTTTGAGGACTTTGTACGCTACCTGGGCGACGCGCAGGCCGAGCGACTGGACGCAGCCTTCGGCGAGCACATCATCCACTGGGTGACGTACGTGCGGCTGTGCGCGCCCTGCCAGATCGACTACGACGCCGTGGGGCATCACGAGACGCTGGAGAGCGACGCGCCGTACGTCCTGCGGCAGGCCGGGGTCCCGAGCCACGCGGCCTACCCGCCCATCCCGCCCGGCGTCACAGCGTTCAACCGTTCCAAGGTGCAGCACTATTTCCGCGGGATCAGCCCCACGTGGATCAGACGACTCTACCGCCGCTACGAGGGAGATTTCCGGCTCTTCGGATACGAGGAGCCCTCGTTTCTCTGGATGTGAATGTTGGCGGCGGATAACGGCCGTGATTGAGCGGATCAGCCCAAAATGACCAACGTTTTGTTTTGTTTTCATTATATTTTTGTACACATAATGAAATTAGAAGCCTTTTTGGAAAAGCATTTATGTTTTAGTGGTATTACACAAAAAAACGTCATACATTGAGTGAAATCCATTTCTGTCTATGTGCTCTGTGCATACTTATATTTGACAGTCTATCCTGAAAATGTATGTTGATGCACAAAAAGTGGAAACCACTGTTCTCTTTAGACGTCCAAACCTTCATTGTCATACCAAGCTAAATGGTGCATTTCTATCCACGTACCAATGTGTTTTCTCAATCTCCATGACCTGATCCCATACTGGAATGAGTCACTTGCAATATTTATTTAACACCATATGCTGTCACAACAAGCGGCAATGCTACGGATTTTTGCCTGGCATTTTAAACGTTGACGTTTGTAACGTGGGCATTGTTTTCTGAAGAAGGCTGGAATAATGAAGCAGGACCGTGACGCTGGCTGTGTGTATTTGGCTGGCCTCACAAACGAAAGTGTTTGGTGCTCGCTTGGCATTTAAAACACACGTGTGGTCGTCCTGAGATTCTGTACTCGGGATGCACAACTGCACTACTGGAAGTGGTATAGGTTTATACCTACCAACCTCCCCTCACTGATGTATATAGCCTCTTTCTGATCGGTGATAAGTTGGCAATTCACACACCGTTAACTGCAAAAGGGATGTGTGAAGCCAAGAATCCAACTGAGTGTCACACATTGCACGTGGCAGCACAGATTGATTTATGGATGTTTGAGACAAATCCTCGAATAACCAATAATAATAAGAAACCGCAAGTGGCACATAGAGACGCGACGGGGACTCGGCACAGCACTGCTGTTATAACCCTGTTCACCGTCCCCAGTTTGTCGTTGTCATAGTTGGCGACTTTTTATTGATCCTCAGCTCGTTGAGAGAGTGAGGTGTTTGAACAGTAAATTGTGCCGTTGGGCAGTATTGAATTCGGTGGAAATTCCCCAGTGGCAAAATCCTCTGTTTTAGAATAACGACTGTAGGCTGCTTAATGAGGCTAATATACCATGGTTTAAAGATAAGTCCAAGAAAGGGCATTGCTTTCCACAGTGTACGGGACATTGAGGGCAGTGACTAGGGAACATGCAGAGATTATGTTCGGATGTGTTGGAATTAAGTTTGATTCCCATGTTTGGCTGTAACTTTAAACATGGTACGTGGGCTATCGTGTCATCTTATGTATTATTATTTTGCACTTCATCCTGCAAATGGTGTTGTTGAATGAAACCAGATGACACTGTGTAGCAGTTAAGAGCGATTGGCTCGCATTCAAACGGTTTAGAGGTAAAATCCCGCATGGGGCAGCCTACTCAACCCATCAGTTTTATAGCACGAATAAAATACATACCACTCTGTGGCTTGTGGCTTATCTGCCCGCAAGGTGATTGTCCTATTACCCTGAAAGTGTGGAATTTCCACCGCTGCCTCATGGCCACCAATGGAAGTGAGTGCTCCCCCCTGTGGTTAATCCAGCAGAGAAGAATGGGGGCACGGGTGAGGTGGGACGGTTTCTGTAATTTTGTTACTAACGATAATAACAAGCAGTCAAAGTAGGGGAAATTGTATTGTTAAAAAACCAACAGAACTAATGGCTTGAATTAATTAAGATGAGCTTGTATAAATGAAGAAATTGTATTTAGTGTTTGTATAATAATTTATCAACTCGCACAGGGATTTCCATAATTACACCGTACTTGTCCACGGAGCTTGCCTGTCTGCAGCGGACGGGACCGTTATGAGCCGTGTGGACTGCGTTTCTTAAGTCTCCCATCGGTCGTCGCATGTATGTGTGTATGTTGAATGTCTTTCGCACGGTATGTAGCCAACCGGGCACGCCTGTCGTTGCCGCCATTTCAGTGGCGTTTGCGATCCGTTTACACCCGTTTTTTAAACGGGGCATTCAACGGCACCATCCGTTTGCCGTGGGCCTGGTTGCTTTACGGCGGATTAATCGAGGCGCACATTTCGTAACATTGCGAGGAGGATTTTAGATTTGCACCTTAAGAGGGCAGCACCAAGACGTGCTGGTTGTACTCCATCATTTAAGGAATCGTGTTGCTCAACTTAACTCTGGCTAGTGGTTGATGAGCACAGTCAGGACCGTGTGGCTTTAGTTTTGCTTAAAGGTGCCATGGGGTGAAGTGCACTGCGATGGAGTTTGAATGTGCAGGTTGGCGTGTGGAGCAGACTGGGATGCGCAGCGTGGAGAAATATTTTTATCATTGCTGGCAGCTTCCATTTCCACTTTATTTGTTGAACATTTTTGGAGACGATGATGATGACGACGTTGCCTGCGTGATTTAAATTACCAAGCACTGTAGATGTTGAGTGAAGGGAAGCTTCACAAACTTAGTGTTTAGTTAAATTTTAAAAGTAGCAAAGGTATCACAGCTCCTAATGTAAATGTATCTACAGCCACGGTAGCTTGTGCTTTCGTCGTGGCCACATTAGAGTGCTTTCTCTTCTGATCTGACCTTTCTGTTCAAGGTTGCAGTCAGCTGGCATCCCTGCTTGGGGCAGAATCAAAACCGCTGTAGCCAGGGAGACCACGCTGTACGACCACTCTATATGCGCTTCACACTCGAGAGAGAGAGAGCTCTTCGAAAGTTTGGGGACCGCCGTCTGCAGCGATATCACTCCGTGGGAGTTAGCTTTGGTGCGGCTGCCTTGGCGCAGTGCGGTGCTGTGTTGATGCGACTTTGCTTGAGGAGACAATGGCATGCACAGTCGTATTCATTGGCCTGTGGACTTGATGCCACTGAACACGGGACAGGTCGGCCGTATAAAGTACGCTGGTCTGCCAGCGATTAGCAAACGGAAAACGGTGGCAGTTCAAGCAATCCGAGCCCATGCATATGTATACTTGGTGACTGATAGGCGGAACACGCGCTGAAAAATACACAGAGGTATGAGGAGAGGTGCATGCTTGGAATTGCACCGAGAGACTGAAGAGGGAACAACGTAGGTCAGAGAAAAAAAGCAAGTGACAGCCATTGTGTTGACAATGGTAAATGGGCTTGGGCAGGACAAATCACGAGGCCGGATGACGACTGATGATGTGACTGGGTGGATGGATTAGCAGCCAAAGGAGAGAACGCACCCAAGAAGATAAACCACCGCCAGAAATGCGGCGATGAGTTCGGTTCATGTGCACAAGTGAGGTGGGCGGTAGCAGCACCAGACGTGTGAGGGATGACAGCAGCATGGGGAGGCCTTCATCCAGCAGTGGATAGACAATGGCAGGATGGTGGCAGGAACCACTTTGTGGGGTGTGACTTCACTGAGAACAACTTTAAAAATTAAAATCGTGCTGTGTGATTCACTATTACACAATGGCTGTGATTATGGCCGAGGTGGAATCCACAAATTACGTATTGTGATTGAGTAATAGTGTTACTTTCAGTTACAAATTATTATTGTTGGGAAAATGTATTAATGACATGAAGATCTTTGGGGGAAAGAAATGTTGAGACAGTAATATTGTGCGATTGAATGCCAATGCACGTGTCGTTTCATTTACATTGTGATCCAGTTCCGCAGTCCAACAACTGGCTCTGGGAAGGGCGACGGTGTGCTCTAAGTGTACTGTATCGAAGATGATGATCACTGGTGGCAGGAATGTCTGTCGCGTAATTCTAGGCCAGCAACATCCTTTGCCCGTCAGGTGATGTTACTGCGAAGCAAGCCGCACCGAGAAATCGTTATCACCTTTCAGTTTGTGAGTAGTGGGGTGAATTTTAATTCGGTCACCAGTCACTGTAGCACATGGCCACATGTTGGTGTGTGTGCGTGTTATTCGTTTTGCACTGATCACTGAAAGAAACCGAACAATTATGTAAAACAGTGGCTTCTTTTTTATTCCACTAATCGGATGTACTGTATTTAAAAATGTGTGTAAAATAAATCTTTAAAAAATCGGTCTTGTTTTATCATCCTGTTATCACACCGGGGCCTAAAGTAGTTAATCCGAAGAAGATGCTTGTGCTTGCCATTATAAAGTGTCGCGTCCATCACCAGGTCATGGCCACCAATTGAGCTGAGCGCTTTGTAATTACACGCTGTCTTTTGAATGTGTAAAACTGCACAAACAAATGTTCATTTACAATTTGACTGCCATTACATCATCTTGGAATGCTGACATTATGTCATGCATGTGTAGTGACATCGGGGATGTCACTGTATAGTGCCGGCCCGGAAGGGCCATGCCGTTTGATGTTCCTACATCGTGGACGGCACTGTGTGGGTGGCTGTGTGTAATACCAGCCCGAGTGGGGCTTGGTGAGCACTGGGATAGTGCGGGCACCACGCACAGCGTGTGGTGGGGGGGCTCCCGCGAGGGGGAGTGGGTGAGCGTCAGCCCAGGGGCAGGGTTTCCCCGGGGGCATGGCACTCTGGTTGACCCCGTAGACACGTGATCCGGAATGTCCACACAAGGGCCCACAGGTGGGGGGGGGGGGGGGGGCTATTGGGTGATCACGTGTCCGGGGAGAGCTCTTGAGAAGGATCGAGAGGGGACGAGAATGCTCGAGAGGGAACGAGAATTCTCGAGAAGGCAGGCGGAGCGGCCCCGACCGTAGGGGGATATAAGGCGGGTCCTTGAGAGTGACCGGGGTCGCTTCATTCTCTAAGCTGGAAGCTCAACATCTATAAGCGGGAAGCTCTACGTCTCAAGCTGAAGCTCTTCGTCCTATGAGGCAACCACGTGGTCGGGGACCCGAGTGAGGATCCGACCCTTCGTAGAAGTAACTCCTCTGTATAATGTAGTTATCTGGGTGGTCACCACCCTAAGCTGTATCTGGTAAGGGGCAGTTACCCCTTTGTGTTACGGTGTTACAATAAATGTGTTGCCTCTTAAAGGAACAACGTCTGTGACTCAGTTGGACTCACTACACATGCTGAACTTCTTTCGCACCGTACGTAGCCAACCCTGCTAATCAGAGGTGCGGAGAGTTCACACTGGACTTGCAATCCTGATATTGTTAGTTCAGTTGGATCTTATAGCGGAGGAGCTGAAACAATGGTGCGAGCTTCTTATACGCACCAAGCTCTGTCCACCCATCAGTGTGCGTACAACCACTGTTAGTCGGCGGCAAGTCGTGTGCGGTGGAGTAAAATTGTGGGTACTCCCATCTCTTCCAATATGTCGAAGCAGGGTGAATGACACGGCCAATTTTTCTCGAGGGGGGCTCTATTGGGCTCTCTCTAGCCAGACGCCCTTCTTCCAGCAGTGGCGTGAGCAATAAATTGCAGGGCTGCGCATTTACCCTTTGCACCACCACAGCGCCAGTTGTCGGTCAGGCTCGCATCCCCGTGCATATGCACACACAGGCAAACTAGGAGTTTATTTAGGAATATTTTAACGTTGTGCATGCATGTTGTCTGCCCATTGCGAGGTGGTCATCAAGGTTAACAGGGTTGAGCTCTGATATGCGCTCAGTGGCGCTCGCCAATGCATGACGGGGTTATCAGCTGTGGGGGCAATAGGGATGCTGCTGTCGGACAGTACTGTACAGTGCCACCACGATGACCTCCCCCCCACACGACAAATCACGTGGGGCACGCAGCACAGCACAAATGGTAGACAAACAGCTCCACCCCCTGCCATCCATGGGGCGCATATCGATCGGTCTCCGCTCGCTAAGCTAACATTTTGCTCGTTTTGCGGACAAATGGGTATAAATAAAAATGTCTCATAGTAAATTCTCGTAGAAAGAATGCTCGTTAAGCGAGACACGTTTGTACATAAATATAGAATTACTCCATTGTACAGCTATGCTCCCGTGTATATACTCCCATCCAACCAGCACTGACCCTCCCTTGCGGTGTGGTACGGCCAAATGACCCACACAACCCACAAGGCTTGGGACAGCCCTAGTCCACCAGCGGATCGGCGTCTGGGCTGTGCATGTACACATGGGACTAATCTACATGTGTACGTGAATACCTCGTCCGAGTATAATAACAGACAGAGAGCATGAGGGAGGAGAAGGATGATCCAGGCTAGTCAAGCTAGACAACCATGTCAGGAGCAGCGGAGTGTATCACTGTAATGGTGTGTTTTGGATGACCACAGCCGCACACTGGAGAGTATTTTTATTTTCCGTTTGTGCATCGGGTATTGCCATTTGCCATGGTTGGTGCCAACGGATGCGGTTTAGGGTGGACCACGAGCTTCGCGGAAGATCAAAACCCAGGGATCATCAGCACTGTCATGCCATGCCAACTAAATTGCCGGCAGTGCACGGGCTGTCCAGATATGTAGCGCTGTCCACTGGTGCGCGTGCGTGCGAATCAAACGCAGGTGTTGGCATCCCGCGCCAGTGAGGGCCGAGCACACGCAAGGCAGCTTGGGTGGCGCGGGTGGGGACGTTGTGGTTCTGCACGGAGTTGTCTTTGTGACAGACGCCCGCTCTCTCCTCTCTCACTCTTCATGAAAGCACATGCAGTGTTTCCGATCCATTTAGTTCCGTCAGTACACTGTGGGGTTCATGCTGGGACGTACGCATGGTTTAGCAGTTTGACGTAATAAAGTACCAAGATGGCGATGAAATTGAATCTTCACTGTAAGGGATGCGCAGTTTGTATTAGAGTAGACATTCATTTTGATTCTAATTATTTTTAAATAGTTCACAATGTTAATACGTCGATTGGATGGCGCTTTAAACGTGCTTGTGATGTGTAAGGTGGCCACGTTATGGAAATACTGTTGGCTGCTCGATTTCATTGTTTAGTGCATGATTTCACATGTGAAGTATGGGAAATGACGGCAGGAACTTCTTGACGGGTAACACACTTTTATTAAATCTTGACGTGTCACAATACGTGTGGTCTCTATTCTTCTGACTATACACTCCACTTAACTCGTGTAGACTCTATGCCTCTGGCTACACACAATGCACTTGACTCGTGTAGACCCTATGCCTCTGGCTACACATAATGCACTTGACTCGTGTAGACCCTATGCCTATGGCTACACACAATGCACTTGCCTCTGGGTTACACAGAGTCCCGGTCCCGTTAGGACAGCGGGACTAGGTACCGCAGGGCCCTATCTCTTCAACCCCGTCTTCATTCTTCGCTGGTTACATACTGCCCTTACGCCTGTGTGCATCCCCTTTTATAGCCCCTGCTCACGGGAGACGGAGCTGATGCGGACGTCGACGTGAGCATCGCTCCTTAGTTAACCAATGACGACGCGCTATCTCTACGATCCGTTTTCCCCAGCGCGTGTTACCACTACTCAACCAATCACACCGCGCTGCCACCCGATCACTCCCTCTCAGCGCGTCACCGGCACACAGCCAATCAGCACCACGTAACCCACGACCCCGCGCTGACCCCTAATCCTTCACCGTCAGCGCGCGTCACCACATACACAGCCAACCACTACGCGCTGGCACACGATCCCTACCCCAGCGCGTATCACCACTACACATGTATGTGCTTAGACCTTGTTTAGTGTAAGAGGCCGTCCATAAATGACGTCACGCACCTAGGGGGGGGGGGGGGTCAGACATTTGTGACGATGTGTGACGATGAGGGGGGGGGTTGAGAAATGTGACGTCACATCAAAATACTCAACTTTAAATAAATATAGACAACACGTTCTATTTAATTAAATTGACTTTTTAATAAATGTTTTCTCCTACAACATCAGAGTGCAGCGTACGCACTACAATGACACTAGTTTAAAGCGATTTGAAGCATGTTTTATATATATTTGGGGGGGGGGGGGGCAGAGCTTTGTGACGTCATATTTGAGGGGGGTCTGCCTTTTTGTGACGCTGTGTGACGAAGGGGGGGGGGGGTCAAAAATTGTCCAAAATCGCGTGACGTCATTTATGGACGGCCCCTAAGTGTAGTGACTAACTCGGAGACGAAAGGAGTTGGAGGCACTTCTTTATTAACAAGCACCATCGGGGTGAACACTTTATAATTAGTCCGTCCTTTTGTCGACTGTTACTCAGTCAGGACAGTTGGTAGGCTACCTGACTGGTGAAGACAGAGACGATGACAGGAACGACGGTGAAGACGACGAGAAGAATGGTGACGAAGACTTCAGTAGCACGACGGGGATCCCACTGCACACAAGAGCCCTCAGGTCCCCTACAGGGGGCCTTCTTATACTGTCAGTGTGGCCTGGCCCCGCCCCCGGCCACGCCCCCTTTCTAGAACCTACCAGCGGGTTCTTGGTGTGCAGCTTCTGTGACTTTTCCCCTAGATCCCCCTCTGGTGTATATCCTGACCTGCTGACGTCAGGACTGCCATAAGCCGCAGATCCCCTTCCCTGCCAGCAGCCAGCACTATGCTGCTACACTACTATTATTCTATGCCACTACATCAGTATCAATGACAGTTTGTTGATTAGGACATTGCATATTTCAAACAGTGACATATAAAGGTGAATTTTATATTGCAGAGACTGAAAACAGAAGGAAGGCATTGCATGTTAAGGAAAGAAAGCATTTCGGATGGGATTGTATGTTGAACTTTTTTCACACCGTACACCAACCGTGCTAATCAGAGGTGCAGCAGAAGGGCAACAAACGAAATACAAAAAGTGGTGTTGACTGTGCCCAGTGACTCTGATTACAGTACTGAGCTGGCACTGCTAAAATCGTAGGGATCTGAATCTGGGCAGCCACCCATAACTTAACCAGGTTCTCAAGGCTGTGTGCTTATGGTCTCAGCCTGCCTACCTGCACAAAAAAGCATGCTTTTTAGTTTCTTCATCATATGATCGTTTCTGATTCGATGTCGACTTCCCTGGCAATCCTGTGGCACAGGGTAACGCACCACTTCCTTAAGAGTTTTGGGTGGAAATGTACTCACATCGTGACGTGATGCCGACAGCACCATTTTTGTCAGCAGGACTGGGAGGGTAGGGCCCAGGGGTTTCGGGTCGGGGATACAGTGGAGAAGCCAACTGCGAAATTTTCACTTTGACAACATCTTCACGTTGTTGGTGAAACACTCAACAACCCTACATTCGTTCTGGGGTTCAACAGTAGTCATCCTTTGGATAGACTTGCCCTGCCATAGGAATGTAGAAAGTTCCACTACTTGGCTCAGGGTCACCATTTGTTGGTTAGTGCCACCCTAATTGCTCATATGAGCGGGAAGATGTTGGCCGAACTGCCGAAACAAGGATTTGCACTAATATTATATGCAGGACATGCCCTACTGGATGAACGGAAATAAATTCTACCTCATGTTTCAAGTTACCAGTTTAACCAGAGGAGGACTCAAGAGGCCAGGATGTCACATTTGTAAAAAAGTGACCTGGATTACCAAATGAATGAAAGCAAAAGTTAAAAAAGTACAGAATTTAAGTAAACAGCAATCAGAACAAAAACTAATATTTCTTGACTGAGTGCAAATATTAAGTTGAAGTGTTTGATTACCGTGCCACGCCATATGTAAATGCACAACTGCCATGTATTGTGTTGTTAACCTTAATTTATATGCATTCGAATTGGGTGGAGGGGGGGGGTCGTGGACTGAGATAGGAATAGGAGTGCATTGTTTATTGGGGTGGTTATGAGCACAATAAAATAGCTAATAAATCGCAGCCTTCTGGCAAGTTTTAAAACAGATTATTAAGTGCTTAATGTGCCCACGTTGGCGTGCCCAGCTGGGTTTGTCCATGAGGCTTCACTTGATCTCTATACACGATATCCCATCACTCCCCCACCTTCACCAGATTGCTAAGTGATGTCGGGCAGGCACCACAAGGGCGTTTGGGTTTGTGTGAGTTCACGTTTTTTGCAGGTGAAGTCCACTGACAAGAGACATTACTAATCGGCACAGCATCCAGACTGAAGCTCAGAGCCAAGCTATTTTCTGGGAACGCTTCTGTAGAACAATTTTAATTGAAATCTTACGTTTCCACATCATTTGGAATGTGGCATCGGAGTGATGGCCAAAACACTGCTGCTGGTTTTGGGTCTGCATGGTATAATTAATATGCTTACTTTTTCAACATGTTACGTTTTTTGTAAAGTGGCGAATGTATTGGAAATGTAGTGCAAATGCAGCAATGATACATATGTAGTGACGCTGACACATGTTCTTGCTTTACTAAGAGCCTTTATTTTGGACACAAACACTATCCTAGGCCCGGTCTTCAGTTCTTGATGCTTGAGCTTCGTCTTCTGTCCAACCGTCCCTTACCCATGTGTTTTTCCCTTTCATATTCCTCCAGCCCCCTTTCTTGAAGGTTTTCTCACCCAATTTCTCTCAGCCAATCCTCCTCCTTCTGTAATGGTAGTCAACCGTTACCCTGACAGTCCACCATCGTTTCCCTGCCTTTTACATTTGAATCCCTCCACCAATCAGTTCAACTCTCTGGCCATAACTAATCCTATTTGATGCCTCCCTGCACCAATCAGAGTCATTTAACATACTTCCTGACTGTCCATTTGCACACATACTGTGTTAGGTAAGTAGTCTGTTTTCGGTCTTAATATCGCCCCTTCCCCCCTTAAAAAAGAGCTGTTCCGGCTAACGCCAGGGGAGAGACTGAAAAGCACAACAGACCACGGGAAGCTGAGGAGACGTCCACCTTCAAGGGCCTCGTGTTTCTGCGACCCATGTGAGCCCCTGTGGCATGACCCAGCAATAATGTGCTTATGTGTCCAACAATGGCAATAAACATTTCATGAACAACCTTGATCTTTTGTCTGTGTATGTGTGAATAAATAATCGTGCGGCGAGTGTATTAGCACATTCCACAATTAGTTAACAACAAACAAGACTGTGGGAACAACAAGGCGCAACAATCCCCTGCTCCATCCAAGAACAGTGTTAACGTAATCATGCACATCTTGTGTGGGTCCTCGTTGCTGTCGGACCGGCGTACACTGCAGGGTCCCGCGGTGAGCCGTCCTGCATTAGAATCGGTCATGTGGGTGGCATAGGTTAATGTACAGGTAATATAGGTGCTCCGGGCATCTGCAGCGGTTTGTCGGACACCCCAGACTCCGGCCGAACAGAGTATGGAGGTGAGATGCATGGGTGATGATAAAGGTAGGCTTTAGGTGCAATGGGTGAATATACAGTGAGGGAAAAAAGTATTTGATCCCCTGCTGATTTTGTATGTTTGCCCACTGACAAAGAAATGATCAGTCTATAATTTTAAAGGTAGGTTTATTTGAACAGTGAGAGACAGAATAACAACAACAAATCCAGAAAAACGCATGTCAAAAATGTTATAACTTGATTTGCATTTTAATTAGGGAAATAAGTATTTGACCCCTCTGCAAAACATGACTTAGTACTTGGTGGCAAAACCCTTGTCAGACGTATCTTGTAATTGGCCACCAGGTTTGCACACATCTCAGGAGGGATTTTGTCCCACTCCTCTTTGCAGATCTTCTCCAAGTCATTAAGGTTTCGAGGCTGACGTTTGGCAACTCGAACGTTCAGCTCCCTCCACAGATTTTCTATGGGATTAAGGTCTGGAGACTGGCTAGGCCACTCCAGGTCCTTAATGTGCTTCTTCTTGAGCCACTCCTTTGTTGCCTTGGCCATGTGTTTTGGGTCATTGTCATGCTGGAATACCCATTCACGACCCATTTTCAATGCCCTGGCTGAGGGAAGGAGGTTTTCACCCAAGATTTGATGGTACATGGCCCCGTCCATCGTCCCTTTGATGCGGTGAAGTTGTCCTGTCCCCTTAGCAGAAAAACACCCCCAAAAGCATAATGTTTCCACCTCCATGTTTGACTGTGGGGATGGTGT